CCGAAACATATGTCGCTATTAGGCAATCCATTCGATAACGTTGCTTGCATGACAATAACCCGCCTGTCCTCACACCCCTCCCTAACATCTCCTGCACTTACAGATAAGGAAATTTGTACGAATTGGTTGACCTCGTTCATTACAGACGTTGAGTATTTCGTAGCGTCTCCTAGCTTCCGCTTAAAGCTGTGCCCATCCATATTGGTGGTGAGATAAGATGCTGCCTACTACGGGATGGGTAGTGTGTAGAACTGTGTGATGTTGAACTCGGAATATGGATGATATGGCGAAGGCTAAATATAACCAGTCTAGAGTTCTACTGTTTAGTTTGCAGTTCTCCCATCGTTATGCAGCCTTCGCCCTTTTACGAGTGTCGTTCTACACTGTATTCCGATGTTGTCTGAAATGACTTGTGTGTTTGAAAGGTGAAGGTGCTGCCATGAATATCTTATCAAGGCAACATGGTGTGTGGTGCGCTTTTTGTCGAATTTGGTGCAAGTTTATCTGTGGATGGTTCGTTCTTGTCAAGAGCGCTTCGATTCATATTAGCTTGCAACACGGGGTGGTTTCTAAGCCCTTCTTTATATTTGGACTCCTTTTGGCGCTTCTCCACATCAGTGTGAGTAAAGCAGAATCCCCGTACATGTTTAGAGTTATTTGTAGGGATTTCTATGACCATCCTATCTCGTTGTACGGAACGATGAGACCGGTGAAAAGACAAAACTCATGCATCAGCTGTCATTCGAGCTGGGAACTCTGCGTTGGGAACTCATTGATTTCCTTTTCGACATCGCCTTAATTACTGATGCCCTGCTGGAGTTTGAGGTCGGCCTTGACTGTTAATATCGAGCTCTCACAAAATGTTTTTAAGTAAGCATCCCAGTTTGTGTCCTTGTGTAGATTGATGGTGGGAAAATGCCACTGTGGGAGATGTCATGAGTGCAGATGGTTTAGAAAACCTATGCTGTTTAAACGACTTCTAACTTACTAGCATCAAAAAATGCTGATGGAAGGGCTAGACGTGAGTAGCCTGATTGGCAGCACATTGCACTTTGATGCGCGCATTCTGCGCAACTTTGGTCTGAAGGTGTTACCATTGCTGGACAGCTTGAAGGTGATCAAAACCAAGTGTCGAGTGTTAGATGAATGACTGAAGATGGATGTAGCCTATTTCCTGATGAAGGCTAGCGACTCCAACGTCATCCGTCGTGATGAGAACTATGAAAAAGTGAGGAATCGGGTTGAGGTCCGTATGTCGAACTTTTTCAATCCATTGGATCGTCAATACCTCAACAGCTACTGCCCTTGATCGAGACTTGGAGAAGTGTGAACAGGTTGCGCACCACCCGTAGATCACTCACGCTTCAACTCATTTTGTTTATACTGTGGGGGTGATGGACGCCTTTTTTGAGGGAGGGAGAGTCGCTGCGTGTAAAGGCGCTGGACAATCCCATGACACTCCGACTTCGCGCTCGCCGCACAAACGGGGCAGACACCTGTGGGTTCTCTTATTCCACTTAAATCTATTTAAGTAGCTATGATTGCTTATCTGTGCTCCCCTCGTCCTTCTTGTTTGGTAGAGCACAAGGTTGACAAACAGCACCTCCTGATGCGCCTTCAACAGGGTATATGTTTGGCAAGGTCGCCTACTTCTCTTACGTGGTGTGCAGATCCGCGGATTACTGCTGTACCTCACCCAGATTCTCCCAGGGCTGCCCTCTTCTCTGTAAAGTGGCTCTCGGTAAAACCCCGGACTCTTTCGTTGGCAGCACCTCTCGATGCCTCAGGCAAATTGGTGGTCGCTGAGTTAAATCTGTGCCCTTTTGAAGCTGTTATTTTGCTCGAAGAGTGTGTAAACCTTCTTGCAAGCGTGCCCACTTGCATATTACGTGACATGTTTTGAGTTCAACGCTTGAAGTCGCTTTTTAATTTGTTTGCCAAATTACGTACACCAATGAAATTAAACCTTGCAAAGGTAACACTTGTTATTGTGATTTTACTAGAACCATTTCGTCCAAATTGGGCGTCATAAATTAGCTTTCCTGCAAATGAGTTAAGCGCAGGGATTATTACAGAAAAACAGGTACTTTTTCTCCTGATAATTTCTCTCCGATATAAAGGTATGGCCGTAATGTGTCGTGTCTGTATGTAAAATAGAACGGGCACTG